ATAAGTGACGAAGGAGAGAAACTAGAAAGGTATGATTAATTTAACTAATTTATCGTAATGTGTCATTTTGTGGATACAAAATTTTGTGAAAAGATATTAATTTTTAATTTAAAGGGATTTAATTTTAGGATGGGGTTAAATCTGTGTTTTGATTGTTACATGATGAGGTTAACTGTTGACATTTTTAGTGTCGCTCTTTTCATACTTTTTGTAAGTACTGAGTGTTGCCATTTTCCATACTTGGTTATAAAGAAGTAAGATGGCACATTTTTATGGAGGAGTATCATGAGTGAGCCTCACATCAGTTAGCTGGAGCAAACAGAGCCTTTGCTCACTTTCGGTGGTGAATCATCAGTGGCTTTCAAATGTGATTTTTATGTCCAAAAGCTTGGAAAGTATTGGCCACTTTGCCCTTTTATTGCCTTTTTCTTTTTAATGTGCTACGTCTACCATTTGACCCGCATGATCACGATTACTATTACAATTTGTTGTAGTGTTTTATACATGTACAGCTATGGTTAGATAATTAAACGTACAGTGTAAGCATTTGTGTAACTCTGTTTGTCAAAAGTGAAGGAGTAAAATACAGTAAAAGACAATAAAAACTTCGCGTTCCGTTTACGTTGAACGGCGATTAAACGGTAGCGCCGTTTCCGTTTTTATTGTGGTTGTTCCGTTCATGGTCCGTTGGGTCTGGGCACTACCGTTTTTGTTATCATGAACAACGCTCCAAGCGTTGCTCGACTTTTCTCTTTTCTAACAGTTTCTTCAGGAGTCAGGCTTTCTTAGATACACTTACAGAACGACTACGAGCCATGGTTGATGATAAAACGAGACAGGTAAGTCGTAAACGTAGCGACATGCATTTTATATAATTCACCCACCTTATTCTCATGTTGTATGATTCAATAGGACGACAAGAAGTAGTCACAAGAAAGAGTGCTCTGTCAAGCAAAGAAGCAGCTATTATATTATTATCATTTATAAAATAAAATCATGTAATTATAGACCTGCTAGCTACCAAGATCAAAATGCATGACGCTTGCATCTTTTATAAATAAATAAAATTATAATATATATACTACAAGTTTTAGAAAGTAAGAGTACAATAATGATAGAAATATAATAATGATACTGATAACTAATGCTTATCACAATAAATTGAAGTGAATTAGACTACATCGAGCCTGGTGGCCCATCCTCCAATGACACGAGTACTTCACACCTCGACTTCACACAGCGTCTCCTTGAGTTGAGGTCCACTCTGAACTGATATGACAGTATCTCCAGAGCGGCAGTCAAGAACGAGCATAGTAGTATCTGTGGAGTAAAGAAAACCAAGGAGGCAAGGACAAAACGTTGAGCCAATGTAAAAACGTGCTCCATAGAAAACGGACCATAAACGGAAGTAAACGTTTTTTATATAGCGTTGAAACGCCCAACGGCCGTTCAACGTAAACGGAACGCGAAGTTTTTATTGGCTTGTACTGTAGATGCATGCTTTTTTGTATGCTCATGTTCATTGACCACGTGTTCGATTAATCATTGTGCTTGTGTTTCTTTACAGTGTGTGTGTGTGTGTGTGTGTGCACTTGTATTCTTATAATCTATAGTTTTCGCTTTTATAGTTGGCATTTTTAGTGTTGCTCTTTTCATAGTTTTTATCATTACTGCCTACAGAGTACTGCCTTTTTGCATAGAATGGTTTTTTTAAGAAATAAGATGGCACATTTTTATGGAGGAGTATCATGAGTGAGCCTTACAACAGTTCGCTGGAGCAAACAGAGCCTTTGCTCACTTTAGGTGTTGAATCATCAGTGGCTTTCAAATGTGATTTTTCTATCCAAAAGCTTGGAAAGTATTGGCCATTTTGTTCTTTTAATGCCTTTGTCTTTTTTATGCTTTTTAATGCGCTACATCTACCATTTGATCAGCGTGATCACAATTTTTATTATAATATGTTGTAGTGTTTTATACATGTACAGCTATGGTTAGATAATTAAACGTACAGTATAAAGCATTTGTATAACTCGTTTATTGTAAGCGTGAAAATAAAATAGATGCATGCTTCTTTGTATGCTCATGCTCGTTCATTGACCACGAATTCCATTAATCATCATGCGTGTGTTTCCTTACGGG